ACCTTCAACTTGTTCCTACCTCTAACTTGCCCCCCCCCTTTTTGGCAATTTAATTTCCATGGCTCAACCTGCTGTGTAGACTAGAGTGGAAATCTTATGTGGTGGAACAGGATTAATTGATTTCTTCTTGTTTTTTTTAACCAAAGAATCCTTTTACTGATAGTAGATGAGGAGGAGTCTGCCCAAATTCAGCCAGAAACTACTACTTTTGATTCTATTGATGGACAGGTGAAGAAGAGGAGGACAAGGAAAATTACAAGTTCCCTGCAAGAATATTGTCAGTCACAGCCACCAAGGCAAAAATATTCTACAGTCAATTCAACAACAAGACAATCAAAGGAACTTCACCTCTTGTTATGTCTCAGCCTGCTTTTGGTGGTCCACCAGCCTATTGTTTTGGGATGCCTATTGCTTTGAGATTTGAGTTCAGAAGAATCATCCCATTAAGGTCTTTGGGCTTATCTTGATGAGGAATTGCTCAGTAGTAGTACACATTTTCCATTTACTACCAAACACAATGAGCAAGAATGGATTTGCCTTTGTTCTAATACAATATGTTCATTTTGGACACTGGCAACAGAACCCAAGAAGCTACTAGACTATATTGTAACACTAAATATCCAATCTACCACAACATGAGGCCTATGCTGAAGAAAACTTTTGACCACAACATTTGTCTTGGGCAGAATGCTAATTTTTCCTGTGGATGAATCCATTTTATTTTTGTTCAAAAAAGAAGGGCAACTTAACTTGCCCACTGCTGGTGTCTTCTCAACAAGAAACCAATCATGAATCTTTTTGTGTTAACAAGTTATAGTGCTTCTATAGGAGCCTTTGAAAACTAAAGTGGTGTTACTGGTACTAGTAGTGGGGCCAAATTTGATAGGTCAACAGGATCCCAATTCATTATTCTGGGAATTGAGAAAGTCATCAGGGAGTGGTAGGTAGTATGAAGATGCCAAGCAATGCTCACACCAGGAAGTTGTTGCGATGCTGCTATTTGATGTAAAGAATGTTGGAATGACTTCAGCCATCACCAACTGGTGCAGTACTGTATTTTGAATCAGCACAAATAATGTTTTGTTTGTTTATTACTATTCTATTATCTTGTTCTAGTGTGGCTAACTGTTCCATTCCCGTCCTGGCACCACTTTTCCAAAAATAATGCCAATTGAAGCACTGCACATGCTTTTGGATTCATAGATCTCATCAAAACCTGATCTGGACAATCTCTGTCTTCCCTCTCATTTTTTGACCACTTCATCTTCAAGGTCAAAAATTCAGGGAACCTTGAGCACGCCTTAAAAGAATCCTTTGTGTTATATGATGTTGGCACTTGATTACTGAGAGGGATACTACTATGAGAAAAAGTAGAGTATGATTTGTGTATTTGTAAGGAAGGAAGTTTTTTTTGGTTTTTGTAGTTGGCAACATTTGGTAACACCATTGAGAAGAGTTACAAAAGAGGAAAGAATATTTAATCACCAGTCTCTCAACTTATTACTACTAGTACTACTAATCCTACTACTAGTACTACTAATCCTACTACTAATCCTACTACTAGTACTAGTACTAGTACTAGTACTACTACTACTACTACTACTACTACTAGTAGTAGTAGTAGTAGTAGTAGTAGTAGTAGTAGTAGTAGTAGTAGTAGTAGGATTAGTAGTACTAGTAGTAGGATTAGTAGTAGTACTACTACTACTACCTGGCACCCACCATATAAATGCAGACAAGGAATGCCCAATTAGTACTAGCTAGCTAGTGGTGGCAAATTCTGAGTTTATCACCAACAACAAAATCAAAAATATGAATACTACAATTGTAATTGAAGAATCACGTCATCCTTATCAAACCTTCAAACCTATAAATTTAGATGAAGATGAGATCAAGAAAATACAGAATAACAAGAAGATATGACACCAGATTTTCAGAAATACTGCTTCTTAGTACTTGTTCCAGTCTCCTCACCAGAAACTGACATTCTTGTTGGAAGTGGGACAAAGCAAATAGAGCTATGTCCATGTTCAGCAAGAAGTCTGTCAAACCAAATCATCTACATCATCTACATCATCTAAATCATCTGCATCATCATTTGTTCGGTGAGAACTGGAGGTATCCTTGCTGGTGACAGCAATGGTAACTTCCTCTTCCAGCATTCTGGATTCTGTTCCCCCCCTACAGGCTGGTTCTTTGTTCATCAGACAAAGGATACCCTAATACGGCTAGTAGTAGTACAAGAAATAAGAAGCACCTACTACTATTTAAAACAATCCAAGCCACCAGTCAAATGAAGGTGAAGGGGAGGAGGAGTTTTCCTAATACTAAATGTTGCTTGTAGTACTACTAGATATTGGTCACAAGGGGATAACCTGTCAATTTAGAGCTAAATATGTCATTCCTTCTTACTAGTACAGAAAGAGGTCTAGATTACTAGTATGACAAGAACCAAGAAAAGGGGATGGATTAAAAAATAAGGTACAAAGGGGTGCACACTGGTGATACAAAACAAACAGTCAATGGACAAAGGTCACACCATACAAAGCATGACCTACTTTTAGTACTAGAAGGGGTTGTAAAGAATGACGAGTCAAGGGCAGAAGAAGAAAAGAGCAGTGCACCAACAAGTAAGCAAAAACAAATACTAGTAGTACTACTACTAGTAGTAGTAGTAGAACAAGAACAACAAGAAGAACAAGAAGCACCACCACCAGCAGATTGAATCACCAGAAGGAGCCACCAGCAAAGGCATGATAGTAGTAGTAGTAGTACTACTACTACTACTACTAGGAGGAGCAAGAAGAACACTCATCCTCCTGTTCAATAATACACTCAGACATCCAAATGCAAGATCTAATCGAGATGTTGATTGCATTTCTACTACTAGTACAACGGGGCATGACTTCCAGTACAAGAAGTAGTACTACTAAAAAAATACTCCTCCTCCTCCTCGTCCTACTAGTAGTAGTACAGTACTCGTATTATTTTATGGTCTCGGATTTCTGACATGGGGCACGGTAATCGGAGTTTCATGCTATTACTTCGTATTACCAAAGCTGGAGTCTAAAACATAAACATACTACCGTTGGRAATCTAAGACCTCAACTCCGACTTTTTGACGTCGCCTTTTCCGATCACTGATAACCAATGGCATCAACGCTCGCTTGAGGATCGCTGATTTCTTAAACTCAYAGGGGCTTAAGCGCTTATGTGTTGATGCGATGTCACAGTTAAAAAAAATCGCACAGAAGTATTTTTTTCGCACCACGAAACAGCCATCAAGTCCACAAGACTTGAAACTTCGCCTTGGTGCTTGGCAGCAGGGCACAAGAACGCTTTTCGCCCCATCACGTCCATGACGCGATTCCTCRCAGGACGCAAAAAAATAGCAGGTGCCAAAATCGGCCAAACAGGAGGAGACTTGCATTCGTGCAAACAAACATTTCGTTGCCACTCTCAATGACTCTGCTCCCCAATAGYGACGATAAGAATTTGCTTTTGAAGGGAATCATACACAGTATARCACTCGTCAMGGAAGAAAGTCATCATTGGATCCAAAGAATAGAGAAATCATCACTAGCATMATCAAGAGCATCCAGGCGATGATGTCGTTCACATTGTCACCKTCATCAGCGATGGCCTCGATCAAAAATACAAAATCCCACCAAGGGAACAAGAGAAGCCGCAGCAACAGCGATTGGACTGGTTATGTCTTTTTCGTAACGGCTATGTTCAGTGTACTAATGRCCCTCTCGCATCCAATRAACCAAGATGGCGGTATCCCAAGCAACAACAACTTATCGTTCTTTCCGAAAACCGCTGGAGTATCTGCAGCGGTTGCTACCACCGCCGTTTCTKTGATACCACCACGAACAAATGCGGCATCCCGTCCTTCCATGATGGCCATCAGCTCCGGGAGCAGCCGGACGCTCATCGAACTGAAGGGCGAAACCAACAACACCAATACAGACCATGGCATGCRCTGCGGCATCGAAAACAATTGCGGGTACAAGATCGATGCTACCTACCTCGATGAAGACTACGATCASGGCTTGCTGATTCTGCGGCGCGTCAGCATCGTCGACGAACCGTACGCTGTGGCGGCTTCCAAGACCACCGCAACACCAATGGGATTGATCGGTCCCGTTCGGAGGGCGTTCGGACACGCTACAAAAGTTGCAAAGAACCCCATTGTTGCCCTAGTCCTCGTCGGCAACCTGGCTACAATGATTGGGATCCTGCCCACCGGCATTGCGGGCTTTTTGCCCGCGGCAGGGGTCGTCTTTGGGAGGAAAACTCGATGGATGACCAGAGCGGCGTCCGCGGTGGCCAAGCGGGGGAGGTTCCTCGCGAGAAGGGGCCCGGTGACGAAACTGGTCACCAACACGGCAAATAAGCCCGTCTTCTCTAAGTTCAGGCTCAAGCTAACAAAACTTGTTTCCAAGCTCTACAAGAACCGATCCAAGTATTCGATGCTRAGCGATTACTGCTGGTACGTGCAAGGCAATGAAGAGAAGGCAGRAGGCAACAAGATCACAGCCACACCAAGCTCGTAACRACCCGGATCGGCGAATGCAATCCATATAATCCAAGGGACACAAAGAATRACTGAAGTCATTACAGCACGAGCAGTGGTGTCCTGTCACAGTAACCTTGGCAGAGGGAACAGCCATGCTACAAAGCCGCGGCGAAAAGAGACCGAACATGAAATACRTCATTTCATACTACTGCAATACAAACAGACGATATCTTCCAATGAAAGGCATCAATAAAGAACCACAAGAACATCATACAGACTTTACGCATCCGAGAAGTACAAGAACAAGAATACAATACAACACAATAGAATACATAATAAAAATACATAAATGATAATATTAGACTACTATCGGTACGCTGACAATAACCACAGACTAAAAGCACACCAAACAAATTTAAAAACTCAAACCTCATGTCTCATCAGGTAACTTTTTCATGCAATACATTTTTTTCCGGAGTGCCCAAGGTATCTTGATCACAAGAAGTGTCTTACGGTACGGTATGAAAATAATGGTTCTGGGTTCTGTAGTATCCGTAACGGTAGGTACGTACCGGTAGTTTKAAAAAAGAGAACGACGAAACGTCCAAATGCCTTAACCCCAATATAAAACGGTTTAATGACAGACTGAAATTTGGAATCGCAATAGAGCAAGTCCAATCATACCGCACAAAAAATGAAAAAATATTCTTCCTACCGCATCGTACGGTCGGTGAGGCCCTACAGTAGCTCCATCCTCTTCTAGCAASAGAGYAGAGCTCGAGAAAGTCAGTAGATCTTTCTTGTACMAATTGGAATAGATCAAAGGAAGAAGATAATCTACCSCAGACCAAGTAAAGTACACACTCATTCCCGAAGAGGCAACCCAAACAACCTCCGATATCTTACAAAGCGGGATATTAGACCGTCCATAACAAAACGGGCACACAAACTATACAACGCAAACCCTTCATACCCTCTCGGTTCAAAGAAACGACGAAAAAGCAACAACCATGACGAATGATTCTACCACGATAGCGGCCATGACCCTGGAAGAATCTCGTGATGAAACACGTAAATGCGATGAGGAAATACAATCCATCAAAGCAGCCCTCCGGGGGCTCGGAAGCGACGATGAACAAAATTCCCTGGAAATCGAATTCACTAAGGTACGTTTTGCTTATTTATGCTTCGTTTGATGCGTTCACTTCCGATACATTTTCCACTGTTTCCCCCTTGTCCACGGCGATAAGTTCATACTATGCGCGACTGCTAGTTTTTGTTTCCAGAAAAACAATCGGTGGTGTATGAATCAAGTATCGACGGAAGGAAGAGCATCGCATGAATTTTCGTCTGGTTGTATTTGTATTTTGAATTTAGAACTGGAGAATTTTACGTGTGCTCAAGATGGTCACTAACTACAAAGCAAACCTTCCCTTTCCTATTTTTCTTCTTTGCGTTGGTAAACAACGGCAATCGACAACAACATGGGTCATCGAAACAACTGGGGTGGCAACAAAACGTAACTGATCATCGCAGGTGGAGGGACTACCGGAGGCCGCTAAACCCACGRTTAAGTTGCAGCTGTCAGCTCCCATTGAAGAATACGAGCTATCCCTAGAGGACGGCAAAACCAAAGCGACTTTTTCTGGTGTCGAGACGTCCCTGGCCATGCTGACGGTCGACGCCAGAGACKCCGAAATCCCCCTAGGTGCCGCCGCAAACCCCATTGAGGTTGCACCGTTTTGCGCCATGGATGATCCGAAGGAACCAAAGAAAGAATATGTGACGGAGGTTCCCGTGCCCATCGTGGCGGCTCCTTCCGAGACGGAAGGCGAGAAGTCGGAGGGAGACGAAGCGGAAGGAACTTCCGTCCCGCCGGTTTGCACCGTGACGCTGAGGGTTGTGTACAAGCCATCTTCGAAGGACCAGCGGGAAGAACTGTACGAACTTTTGAACAAGACAAGCCAGAGAAAGGCCGATGCCCTCTCTGTCCTGCGCAAGCGAACCATAGAGAAGGCTAGGGCCGGCATACAGGGCTCGCCAGGTGCTATGACCAAGCCMTCGGTCCGGCCCGGCTTTCTCAACAAGGGCCGCGCCAAAGCCGAGGAACCCGAGGAAACGGGAATCTTGGCGGCGGCCAAGAAACTGTATAAGCGTGTCGTGAGCCCGGACTCTATCGTGATGAAGACCGCAATTCTAGCGATCGTCACCAAGGACTTCTGGATCTTTTTTGGGGCCGTCGGGCTCATGCATACCCGGGGTAATCTGCTGGCGCTGCCCCCTCCCGCGTAGAACGCGACGAGACTTTGCCATACAACAATATACAGTACGAGCCAATATACAGGCAGTCAAAAGAAGGCTTAGAATCCATCAGGCACACTGTATGTACTATGTTCTTCTATTTCGCTTTTCGTTGTGTTGCCATGGAACACTTTTTATTGGTCGTGAATAGCARGCGATAAAGTTGCAAGCAGAGCAATCGCCGATGATACTTGTAGGCCTAGCACTGCACTCTAGTGTGATATGTTTGTGTTTGAAAACAGGGTTGCAGCTTCGTTTTTTGGGTCGCAGAAACCAGCAACCGACAGGGTTTTTTGTCTTGCTTCCTTGTGTCAGAGATTCACACCCACCGTGTATGTATGTCTTTACTTCCCCATACGATGTTTGTTCCCCCGCGTCGTGCTTTCCTTCTCCCAAAAAATTCTCGCTGCGGGAGACAAAGAAAGTTAGCATTGCTTCTTCCACCAGTTTCCCCGTGCCCCATTCCATGCTTTCGTTTCTCTTCTTCGCAAGGAGATCCGATTTCGCMGTTCGAATACATCAAGATTTTTTTTACTATTGATTGAATTTATGGGACACCGAAGCATCACTACTTATCCGTCCTGATACATCTGTTTGGCCTCGAGCTCAGTAGGAACAATATGATGCTGCGTAAGTCTGGTGATTTAAATATCCTTTTTTGGATTGGATGATCTTAGTTGTACCTTGAATTGGTTGTTTCCTWTTGTAATAATTAATATTTTTCTAGCACACCTAWAAGTAACAGGGCAWACACGAGTAGCTGCAGTGTCATAAAAGAAATYATCAACATTCTAAGAAGTGCTAGTACAACTAGTATTCTTGTTTGATTTGCAAATCTACAGCACTAATAGGTGGAAGATAGGGCATGGATAATGTGC